ACACACACACACACACACAGATGTTATGAAAAATTAGGAAATAAATTAATAAACAAACAATGGACAATTAGATTAAAACAAATAAAATTATAAAAGTAGATGAAAATAAGTTATTCAATACATAAAATTGGTCAAAATAAATTATAGAACATGATTACAATAAATATTAAAACAAAATAATAAAATTTTAAATAAAAAAAATTATTATAATAAACAATTAAATTTTTGATTGAAATTTATATTTACATTTCTTTAGTTGGCAGACGCTTTTATTCGAAACAACTTACAGTTGAAAATAAAATAATAATAAAAAAGTGATATTTAAATAACTTAATAAATAGAAAATAAACAATAGGAAATTAGACTAAAAACAATTTTGAAAATAGATTAAAAATAAATACTAACAAAATAATGACATTTTAAATAAATTTTAAGGAATACAACAATTTGATTATATTAAACAATGACAATTTTGATTTAAAAAAACAAAATCTATAAAAGTGATAAATAGCTAAATAAACATAAAAGAAATAAACGATGGAAAAACAGAAAATAGATGATGGAAAATTAGATTAAAATAAAAAAATTATAAAAATAGATTAAAATAGATTATTAAAAACAAACGAAAAATGGTTAAAATAAATTCTACAACAAAAATCAGAAAAAACAATTATTAGAATAAATAATATATGTTTTTGAGTAAAATAAATAAATAAAATAATACAAATGATACTAAAAATTTATTAACAAAATTAATAAAAGTATTTGGCACCATAACGATGCTCTTAACCTTTTGAAACGGCCTTAGCTTTGGAATGCAACTGTGAAGTCTTAAAATACTGGGCGTTTTTGAATCAACTCCCAACAGGAGCAGAAAAAATCTGACTGGAATTGTTTGTTGATTAAAGTTTTATTCTTGTTCAGTTTGCCATAGCTTGAGCGTTTTTATTATTATAGGCTACTGAGTCTACACACACACACACACACACACACACACAACACACACACACAACACACACACTCTCTAATTCAATCACAGACACACATTTAGACACACTGCAGCTCTGTCTCGCTGACGTCTCAGAATAGTTGTTTGTATCGTTTGTCGCTTCACTTCTGCAGTCTTTCTTCTGCTCTCTTTAAAATCATTTAAATTGCCCTGAAACTTTAATTACTAAAGCTGGATTTCCTGCATCAAAAGTCTGACTGTATGATTGCAGTGGTGCTGTAGAAATGACTGTGTTCATGATGTCAGTGTGTGTTTAATATTTCCACACACACACACACACACTCACACGCTCTCTCACACACACACACATACACAGGTTAATTCAGTTAGAAATGAAGAACAGACAAGGAGCTACAGAACAAATAACCGCCAGAGAGCAGGGTGAACGAGTGTAAGAATAAACGAGTGTAAGGATGGAGTGAACCAGTGCACACTTTACTCACTTTAGGCGCCAGGAACTGGGAAGACTTGTTAACAACCCACTTGGGAAGAGAACCTGAGAGAGACACAAAGAAAGGTCTAGTTTAGAATAAATGGTTTGATTCAGGGCTGTAGATCTGAGCAACAACTCTACAAACTAAACATTTTATCTAAATAAATTTAAAACAATAAAATTAGAATGATAAAATAAATTTAAAAAAGTATAAAATCATGTAAAAAATTAAGTATAAAAATAAATGAACAAATAATAATGGAAAATATGGTTTAAAAAAAAACTTTAAATAAATATAAAATAAATATACTAAAATAAAACGAATTGGTTAAAATAAATAAATGATTAAAAATGATTGTAATAAATATTAAAATAAATAATACAAATTAGATTAAGATGTAAAAAAAAATCAAATCAAATTTAAAAATTCAAAAATTAAAATTGTGTGTGAGAGTGAGTGTGCGTGTGTGAGTGTGTGCGTGTGTGTGTGAGTGTGTGCGTGTGAGTGTGTGCGAGTGTGTG